CTGTAAAGTTTTTGAAAATGTGAGCACCAGCATAAGCATAAGAAAACACTAACAGCAACATAAAGTAGGCAGCCCCCTCCATTACAGAAGAAAGAGCATTGTGACGACGTGTATGAAAATCTCATGCTGTTAGCTAACCTAATCTTGAAATGCAGGCTAGTCTACTTTTCATTCTTAAGCAATGTAAAATGAAGAGTTGTGTCTGACTAAGGAGTGAGGGCATTAAAATTAAGAGGGCTTTTTGGAAAGCCACAACTATGCTTTTTTCTATGTAAGCGCTTCCTCCAAGTAAACGGAAGGACTTACTGCAAGAAAGAACTGGGAAATTTTTTTAAGGGTCCAATTCACCACAGCTAAAAGGCCCAATATGTAAAACACATGGAGACCTAATATCCCCTCTGAAGTTAAATATCCCTCATATATTCTTGTTTTTCCTGATTCCATATCTTCTTTTCTCATATGCACTTCCAGAATACCAGATGTTTGAGAGAGAGAGAGAGAGAGAGGCCAACTTAGGCGTTGCCTTTCCACATTGAAAATACATGTTAGTTACATCTCTAACCAAATAGAGAGTTTCTAAGGATGAGGGAAGCTTACACTCTAATTACTTCCACAGTAATAGAGCCCTGCTGCTTCAGTTTCCCACATTCATGAGGAATTTTCAAAATTAGGTAGGAACGATTCTGCATCTTTGAGTTGTCATTTTCAATAGCTACAGGGAGTCCATGAGAATCAGATTGTGCAAAGATTTTCAGGGGGAAAAGAGAAATTTAACGCTGAATAGTTTATCAATCACTTTGGGTTATCTTATGCACAATTTAAGTACAAAAGGAAGTGGGATTCACGCAAGCTGGTTTCTGCAAAACATGGCCAAGTCAAGCTGCACGAACTTAAAGATGAAGAATCGGCCACCTTTATTTGTCATTCAGTGGAAAGTAGACATGAAAATGCTCATTCTCTCGAGTGGTTTGAAGTTTGCTATGCTTCTAGCAATCGTGTTCTTGTTAGATAACAAGAATCTTCAAAGAAGGAATCATTTTGACAAGTAGTAACAACTAAAAACTTAAGGTTTGCAAGTGGCACTTGTTTGTAGAAGCATTAACTGGTACCAAATATTTAAGCAGATGGCCTAATTTGGAGATCTTATGCCGAATCTCTTCATGAACTTGTATTGACATCATCCTCCACAAGTTTCTTCTCTGTAATGGTGATTGTCCCTTCTAAAGCTTCTTATTGAAACTTTGTTGGAATTTCTGCTTACTTAACTAAAAGAAAACAGTCCAATGATATGGACAATGTATATTGGAAAATATACAGCAAATAAAAGCATGTTGTGAAGAATCTTAAAGTTCTCTGAACCATCAGGATCCAAATAGCTCATGCTTGAACATTTCATATTGCTGGTTCAAAAACAATTCAGCAAGCATATATAAAAACTAAGCAAGGGAAGACTGCACTTACCGCCCTTATATAAGGAGAATCTGGGTGCTTTAAGAGACCGTGCATTTGTTTGACAGTCAGTTTCATGGTGAAGAACTTGTACAGAAGACAAAATGCTGTCGAAGGACCACGGCAGTTTCCCGTCATCCATGGCTCCACGTGATCAACTTGATTGTAGATTTCATCAATCACTTCATGGTAAGTCTTCAAACGATACAGCTCCTTGAAGTAATCTGAAGAGAGGATATTCATACACAGGACTTTCTCTAGCAATGAATCAATCGGTCTGCCACTCGTTTGTATCTCCATAATTCTTAATCTAATATACGCCTCAAACTTACACAAATCTCTACTTTCCTGCAAAGCCGGCGTCGCGCAGAATCACAAGTCCAGACTGCAACATAGCATGCACCCAACTGGTATCAATGTGGGAACGAATTACCGGGCGAAAAAAGCGCAGAAAAGAAGGCGTATGCGTATGGACCACAACAAATGCAGTCACAAAAAAATTTTACCACACAAAAGCAAAAAGAAGACAGAAAAGTAAGGGATTCCTACAAATAAGCCAAAAAAAAAACACACTTTTTCACTCGAATAATGAAACTCGGAAAACCAAGACCCGCTCGACGAACATAACATCAATTCTGGAATCCACCCAATTCAGCTTTTTCATTAAAAACGATAGAAAAAGAAAAAACCCAAAATTCTACGCAAGCAGCTTATATCGAATTACCTTTCATCTCAATTTTCTGGACCACGAAAAGGGAAACACCAAGCAAGTCAAGAAGCTCCACCTTCTCCCCTAAAAGGGTATTACGGAGAGCGAGCTCGAATTATTCTACGAAAACGTAAATCAAGAAGAGCATATGAAGAATCCTATCACGAAGGGCATTCCAAAACTCGACTGGCGAAACAGAAAATTCGTCAAATTGCTCGAATTACGACCAGAACCTCGACGGGCGCGTTCAAGAAACAATCGAAAACTTTCCACCACCATGTTAACGTGCAAAAGGGAAAAGGAGAGGAAGATTACCGAGTACGTACCGATTGGAATCGAATGAAATCGCTCGCTCGATCGATCGATCGAGAGATACGCAGGAGGAAGAAGAAGAAGAAGACGAAACCCTAGAAATGGAGCTCGCAGTGCATTGGAATGTATCTGCAAGTTTGGAGCGAACAGCACAGATGAGCCATTATAAACCGAGCAGTCCGGTCCGATCCGGTCCGGTCCGGTCCGATCCTGTCCGGTCTTGGATGACTTTAGGATATTTTATTACCTATGACTATCCGGCCCAAACAGGAAACAAAAATCATTCTAAATCTTAATAAAATTTATTGAATGAATGCAAATAAATTTAAGCGATTATTAAAAGATTGACATTAATGTTTTTGAAGTAAAATGAAACGCTGGAAAGTTCAATTTTGAGCTCTTGTTTGTGATTGGATTAAGATTTATCTGACTAGTCTTGTTAGATATTAAAGAAAGCGAATCGGACGAACCGGACGGTAACTCAGTTATCAAACCGGACGGTCCGGCCTGAACTTTAAAACAGTATTTTGGGAAACTTTCTTTTCATGAATATTCAGCCCAAATAAAGAAATATTTCCTTAGCTAGTCTTTTAGGACGTTAGAGTGAACCGTATAGTGACTCAATTGCCAAACCAAGACGTTCGACGACAATTTAATGTGACTTTTTTCAATTAAATGGAACACTAGAAACTCTCATTTCGAGCTCGTGCTTATGCTTGCATTAGAATTTATCTAGCTAGTTTCTTAGTACATCGGAGCCAGGCGGTAACTCAGTTATCAAACCCCGCGGTCCGGCCATAGATTTTAGAGTGTGAGTTTGGGGAATTGCTTATGACTATTCATCTCGGATAGAAAAAAAATCTAAATCTAAAAAAAATTATGAGTGAAGTCGAATAAATTTAAACGACTTAGAATGTTAACATTTAATGTGAGTTTAGAATATTTTAGGGGCTCAACATTAAGAAAAGAAAATCAAATCTTAAGCACTGAAATATGTAGGAGGAAAAATTAAAGAAAAAGTTCAACCCAAGATAGATTGACTCTTATTTGCCTTCCTATATTATGGGTTTAAATAAGGATGCGATTGCCTTCTCCGCTAATTTGCCCCATAATATTTCAAATTCCTAGCTTTATCAACCCCAAAGTTTCTCTGGCAGAAAAACCACAAAATTTCAAATTTATTTGGATATGATCTTTATTAACAGATGTCATTACGATTTGATAAAAGCATGCCATTTCAAAGATTTCACTTCAAAATTTGGTAGTCGCTGGTGGTCAAGAATAAAGAAAATTCCATTTAGTATGGAAGAGTAATTAAAAAGAAACTTGCTTTTTAGGCTCCGTTCGTTTCGTAAAAAATGTGACATTTCTAGAAAATGTTTCGAAGAAAATGATATAATTTTCCAGTGTTTGGCTGAAATGTGAAAAGCCCCTGAAAATATTTTCCGTCGTTTGATATGGAACCTCCATTCATTGCTTTTAATAAATTTTTTATTTTTATATTTTTAAAGGGGCCATAAGAAGAGTGGAAAAAGCGCGGCCCTTTTTAAAATCAATTTTTAATTTTCTTTTTTTCCCTTCTTCTTCGCCCGATCGCTGGCTATAGGCGAGCTTGAGCCTCGCCACAGGTCGGCGAGGCTCGAGCTCACCAGATCCCGGCGAGCCGAGCCGAGCCAAGCCGAGCCAGCCTCAGGCGAGGCTTCACCTCACCAGATTCAGCAAGGTTGAGCCAGACAACCGTGGAAGAAGGAAAAAGAAAACGAAGGAAAAGACAAAAAGAAACAGAAAATTAAAATATAATTAAAATTTTGATTTTACTAAAAAAAAAAAAGTGCACGGACGAGAATGTGGTTTATCTGGATGAAAGAAAGAGAAGGAAAAAACTTTCTCCCCTATTTTAGAAGACCTCTTTTCTGTTGATGGAAAACATTTTCCTTGACCGGTTTGTTTTCCGTGAACTGTATACCGAAAAATCCGGAAAATATTTTTCTAAAAGTTATTTTTCATGAAACGAATGGAGCATTAATATATGAATAATGTTCAAATTCATTCGGATAAAACACGAAAATGGTAAATTCATCGAGAGCTCAATACGGTATAAATGGCTTTTGTCACTCCGATTCCGATTCCAAGTTCAATATCCATTGTGTTCTTTACTATATTCTACTCTTACATTGATTCGGCCTATTCATTCAAACATTATTAACAGTCTCATTTCCAACTTTGCACGATTTACTCCTTTGGAAGCCGATTTCTGTATTAGTTAACAAGATGAAGTTTGTCTTGTGATTAAGATTTGAAAATGAGCAAATTTGATTGGTTTTGCTCCACCACAGTGTCACCCACACGCGCACCACCGACAAAATTGCTTCGTTTAATACTTTTTCTGGCTGCAATCTCAGTTCCATCCACTTCAGTGTTCTAATCTGCTGCGGATTGAAAACGTCTGCTTAGCGATGATCCTGGATCTAAAGGATGAGACCCACGATATAATATTGCAGAAAGAGAGAGAGAGATTTGGATGATTAGATGGGAGGAGAGAGGCTGGTGTTGACATTTATGATACCGGTAGCATATGATACAGACTTATTTGGACTATTATAACGAGTCATATCTCTCTCTTTCTCACCAAAAACTTCTATGGGACACTTTGCAAAACCATAGACTAAGCTCTCAAAAAACTCGGGGGAAAACTCGCAACACAGGCAGAGTAAAATGGCTTATTTGCAACACTATGTAGAACCCACTCAAGAGGAGAAACAAAAGATGGATGGCGAAATCTGAGGCTGTCTCTCTAATGACTATTGTAACGAACATCGATACCGCACGCACTGCCGTCACTTGATGGGCTTCAAGGGGTGACAGTGCTGATGGAAGCTGTAGAGCTGATGGGTGCAATACATGCAGGTCCAGCATTTGCTGCTCAACATCCGGAATGACGGCTCTCTAGGGATGGTCAAGGGCCTGCTCGATCTGCTAGGACAAGAACCCAGTTAAGAATTTAGTGGCCGCTCTCCAAGTAATTGTTATTGTCTAGACCCGTTCTTCGTGTTTTAGAGAGAGAGAGAGAGAGAGAGAGAGAGCGATCCTATTTATTCTTGCTAAAGCTCATGCTTCTCAAGACTGAGCACATTCATGTGACAGCGTGAATCCAAAGTTGGGCAAGATCTGAAGTTTTACCTCTGTGGGTAAAAGGGCCTATCGAACAAAGGCATTAACTGGGCTCTAGGAATCATCTCTTTTCTCAGCAGCCGTACCTCTTCCTCTTCGATCATCTGCTTTTTGATAGATTCATATTAGAAATGGAAGTGCATTTCATAAAAATCTGGAACTTGTCAGATACCGTCTTAATTCTTTTCCACACCTTTTGCAACTTCTCTTCATATTTCTTCTGTTGCTCCATGAGATACAGCTTGGTAGCAACCTGCTTGTAGTGCCCCATTAGAAAACTCCAAGAGAACGACTAATTCATATTGAAATCGACATACTATTGATCAAGAGTACCAATCAACTTCCACTTAATACATGCGCATGATGTGATGATAGATATGCATCATGAAGACTCACCGAGTAATTGAACATCGCACGCTTGACAGCTCTCTGTTGTGTGTGGAGTTTGAAATCTACAGGCTTGGTATTTTCTTTTGCAGCAAGCTTTTGGGTAGCCTAAAGATGAACATGTAGCCTTGTGATTGAGAGAGAGAGAGACAGTTGAAATGCAGAAAAGATATCTTACCTTCGATTTGTCCGCAGAAAGTTGCTCTTTGACTTCCTCCTTTGCCTGTGGATTTAAAGTATACTTTGATCAGTTAGTTCTCTTCTTTCAGTAAGCTGAGTGACTGAAAGCTAGAAAAGATACTTATGATGAATGATGGCTCTGAAAAATAGCAAAACATCAATTTCCAAAAGTAGGTGGACCCTGGACAGGCTCAGAATATCACAGAAGTACATTGAGGCTGACTCAACAAACATAAAAAGGGAAATTAACCATCGAGCACTCAATTTTTCCTGTTCATGTCTGCTCACAAATTACTCGGCATTTTAAAGCAGATCTCTTATTTGGATGTATCCCGAACACATTGGAGAAATATAACTTGCAATAGGGTATGTCATCCTGATATCATAAATGTGGCAATGTCTTCTGTGTCGTCCAGCAAGCAGTAAATGATCAAGCAATGAAATTGCTGTCACCTCATTAACCCGATTATATCAATAAACAAAAGGTCAACTTAGACTGGAAGACCGTGTTCTTAGTGTCATCACAGTTTATACGCGACTAGGCTTCCCTGCTGCACACGCACGACTAGGCTTCCCTGCTGCACACGCTCGTCGCATGGAGTCAGGCAGTGGATACTACTGGAAAATGTTGCTGAAAGACGGAACTTGCTCTTTGAGAAATGCAATTCATTTTTACTCACCATTCTTCTGGCACTGGCGGCAGAGCTCCAAGGAAGAGCGCCGGACTCCGAGCCTACCTTCACAAATTTCTTAGTATCACAAAAACAAAGAGGAAAGCCAATCAGTCTCAGCATCGGCTATGGAGCAATAAATAATCAGGACAAGAAAAGGGACATCATAGCAAGTAACCAATTACCTTAAGTGCAGACTTTGCATGTGGTTTCTCCATGTGCTTAGCTTGGTGGTGACACTTATGTGGCTTATGAGATGCGAGTGAATCAGAGTGATATATATAGAGAAGAGGCCTAGTGTAGGAAGTTTGGAGATTGGTACTTGTCCAAGGGGTGCTCATTCATGTCTGTTGCCATATCACCAGCATTCTTCAGGAATTTGCAATGCCTTTCTTTCCACCAAACTGTCTGATTGAATCTCCCTCTCAACATATACTCTTCTTATCAGTTGCTTCAGATCTCCACTTGTCTTCTGCTTTTTAAAGTAAAGTTTTTCAAAGCTAGTTCCTCAATTAGAACTCCGTTTCGTCGGTTTTTAGTTTCCATTTGAACAACACACTAAATGCGCAATTAATGTGGAACTCTTTCATGATGAACCTATTTGGGCAAAAATCTCTCATTCATGTTCGCGATGCATCCGAAACCATTTTCAAGTTGATCACGCGGAAGTGAGGTGTGAGACCAAGTTATGTAGTAAATACTACTAAGATAATCGGTCTAGTTGTCTAATAAGTACCCCTAAAGCACTTGTTAATAAATTATTTATGTTACTTTTAATGACTAGGAACTCTACCTTACACGGGTAAACTCCAGTTAGATGATACGACATTTCACTAACCCCGCGGACTGGATAACAGGCAAGTCGAAGCTGGGCGAGGGGTTCGAACATGAACTTTATTTGCAATTGGAATATAAAGCTCACAGGACAGCGTAACCTTTCGTATACTGGCCATGGCGACCGTTTGGCATCTCTAGCTTTACGCATCCACAATGTTTTCTACAATTGCGCAAATTGACAGAGCACGAAAAAAATCCGAGTCAAGTTATGTCGACTGTGATCCGCACTAATTGCAGCCATGTCACTGGTCCAAAGAGGCAAAAGTTTGAACCAGAGGTCGTTAACACATCTGATTTTCAAGTTTTCTTGATGGAGCCGTTATCCAACCATGAACGCATAAGATGACTGAGGGAAGGGCCTGGCCTGGACTGTCCTTTTGGCTTTATTATGAAATGAGAGATAAGAAGAGGCACGTCTATTTTTAGTTAGGTCGAGAATCGAAAAATTAACCAACTGATATAGTGCCATGCATGCTTCCTTTTGAAGTTTGGGGAGTCCCAAGTTTCCTTTGATGAAAGATGTGAAAAGCTTAAGTAGTTTTTTAATGGAATGATAATGATGATCAAAGACAACTCGCTTCATTCACATTTAGCATTGGCAATGTTTTGTCGTGGATCTTACGTTCTTTATCAAATTGGGAAATATTCTATCAAGGTTTTCTCAATAGTGGAAATCACTTTATGCCGGTTGCTTTTCCAACAAGGAACAAGGACATATAGATATGACACTCATTAAACATCCTGTGCGACCAGCTTTGATTGGCACTTTGTTTTTCTTCATGATCTTCAAGATCCATTGTCTCGTGGGAGCATCTCAAGTGCCTATGGTTAGTCCATCGAAATAACTGTGCTTGTATAGGCGTAGTCAAATGGTCATATGCTTTCAACAATTTTGCTGCGAGTAAAAGAAGTAACGACTCGAGATTAGCATAGAACGATGCGGAACAAAACTGTGGATGTCTATAGAAAAGGATGCGGCTAATTGAAATGGGACATCCCTTGCTTCGAAACCATGCAAAATTGCGTGGGATCGTTGATCCCGATACTTCAATTTTTAAATGCTCTGACATGTGGTCATGTATTTATCTCTTTCACAATCTACTCGTTTGTCAATAGTATCCTAGGACAATGCTGTTGTAGAGAACTTTGTGCTGTCAAGATCTCCAATACATTTCCCCCACTTTTGTGTTATCATAATTGACCTTCAGATTGGAGGATAGGGTTCTATGGTCCAGAAAGTCAAGTGCTAGCACTCACCCTTTGTCTACCATTTGGAAAAATCAATAGCAAGTAATACACGGGCCAGTTATGAGACAGCATGTCATGTCTGAAAACACTGAAAACGCATTCCGAAACATGAAAGTTAACCTTGTTATTGCAACTCTTTTGGTAAGAAGAATGTTGCCGACAATGTTGGTTCCACATTCACTCCGCAGTGAATCTACAGATTGCCGGAAGGTGTACAACATTCATGTTTTACAATAGATTATGCCAGTCCAAGCTTAAAGCCAGTTCAATTGGCATTCTCTAAATCAGCTAGCTGCCTTTTGTCGAAGAAACTGCCATCCAAAACTTCATCAAGTTTTGCAGTACATACAAGTCAATCAGTCCTCAGATACCTTGAAAAATGTATATGACAAAACCAAGTTATTGATGCCATCCATTCTAGGATCGGTTTCGAACTCAGGGTCAATGTAAAAAAATACCTGCATATATGAGAACGCATCCAGTGTTAAAAATCTGTATTGTCTCTAAAGTCCATCTTAGCAAAGTATCAGAAGATTAGGAATATCATACTTACAGGCATATCAATTTGTTCTCCTGGAAGTAGCCGCTGCTCTTCAAAGCAAAAGCACTGTATTTTGTTGAAATAAACCGCTGCCTGACAAGCAGACGAGTTTAGCCAGAACAAATCTCAATTGTTAAGGGTAAAGCAATCTCAACGGACATGCTATCTCACTTAAGTCGTCTGCTGGATTAATCACCCCAATGAGCAAAGCATTAACAGATTTAGAGATAATTATGCACATTCACAGTTGGCTCGTATCAGTCAAAAACAGTAAATGAAGCATCCATTTTATTGGGGCAATGAATGTTGGGCAGCAGTACCTTCATGGGAGTAACATTGTATGTGGAAACGCCAGTTATTGGTGTTGAACTGCGATTTTCAGCAGTGTAAAATGCAAGAGCACTTTCTCCAGGCTTGACTCTTACCTACAAAAAAAAATTAAAAATGTTGCCTCAGTCCCTTTGATACAGGCAAACAAATTATGAGAACAGAGCATTCTAGCCAATGATCTTTAAAAGAAAAACCTCTCTTTGGGTGGGAGTAAACTTCCATGGCATCCCATCAGCGACATCAGCATTAAACTGCACCGCAATCTCCCTGTAGCAAAATCCGTATTCTCAAATAAAGAATACACTAAGAATAGATGGAAAAATTAAATAAATAGAAAAAAACCCTCTATGTGCATCTAAAAACAGTATTAGAGTAAGTAAACTAGTTTTTAGTATCTAATTTCTCATCCATAATGCCGAGAGAATGATCAGAAGGACATATCAACTCCTAGGTACAATGGAGCATTAGAAACTACAAATAATCGCATCAGAGTTTCTAATAAAGTTCCATTTATCTCTCTCTCTCACACATCTTTTTCTCCCTCTGATGATGAAAAAGCCTACCTCGGAAACCATAAAATGATCTTAAAAACCACACCGCCTTGTACAACATGTTTCTAAAGAAAGATTTCCTAAAACCCAGCCATGTATCCTACCAGCAAGAATCAGAAACTGAAATGCTATACGAAATGATAAATAGGTTCTCTGGCACAATAATGATCACTAGAAACCACCCCGAGGTACAAGCGGTTTTCGCAATCACCAAGCAGAACACTCACAATAGGTACCCATACCTTGTGGTGACAGTCCCATCATTAGCATGTCGGGCAATTTTTTCTTCAACAGTCTAAACATAACAGAGTCAACTCATGATCAGCCAGAGTGAAGAAAAGAAATATAAAACTATACAAACAGAGTACGTTGTACAGACAATGAACAAATGAAAAAACTTGAATCTCACCTCACGTCGTTGAATAGTGCCGCCATACCCAGTAGCCTGACAGAATCTTCTATACAATGGTACGGCTGCATAACTACTTCCCACCATTGCGAGGACCAGAGCTGTCAGGTATAGAAGCATTTTTCGAGATTTTTGTTCTGTGGAAGAAGCATGCGAGGCATAGTGGCGATGGGTATTGAATATAGAACTGGGTTTCCTACTATATACAGAACCATTTGGAAACTCAAAAGACTTGTTAGGTGACCAGGTACTAAATCTGCATCTTCGCAATAAGCAATATACATCGCTAACTGAAGGTCGCCCATATCCAGAGATAGATCGTGCATGACAGAAACCTAGCCCAGGAATCCCATGTTTGAACCTATACAACAATCACAATTTGCAATCAATAGGGAAAAGAATGATGATGATGATGATGATGATGATAAGAAGAGTCTGGAAGTCAGTCCTCTTCTTTCTTTCCTCGTGCAAAGGGTGGGAAATTTTTTAAACCAGCAATTATGAAAAGTTCTGACATGTTCATCACACAATTGGCTAAAATATGCTCATTCAAAATTCTGCAGTAGGATATACTTACTGAGAACCAAGAGGTGAATGCGTTATTATAACGAGGTTTGCTGACAGAAGAAATCCTCTACCAAGCTTTGACAATGACATGTTCAGGAGAGACTAGAACTGAAGAAAAGAGGCAGTAAGTGACATATGAGAAAAGGACACAGAAAGGAAGGAAAGAAACAGAGATCATCGAAACTTAAATCCCATTGAAGTATTACATGATAAAAGGAGAAAAAAGCATAGTAGCATAAAATAGTTGACCGTATCTCCGATTCCTTCGGTTTCATTGTTCAATAGGTTAGTTCGACACCACTCTCCATGCAAGCAGTGGAAAATGACATTGAATGACCTCAAATCAAAGGATACTACATGTTCAAACAGACAGCTTTAGCCCATTGAGTATTTATTTTAAGCGGATGCCAAACCAAATGTATGAACAAAAGTCTCACTGAGATGCCATAACAGCACGCTTGTTACCTCAGGGATGCTTCCCAATCCCAAGCAATAAGCACAAATAAACAAAGAAGTGAAAACCTCAAAAGGTTCAGCTGCCAAGAGAAATCAACACAGGACAACTTCAAGCAATTTCCAGTATCGGCTTCAACTTCAATTCTTTTAATGCATTTGCAGCACGAGCCAACCACAACCCACCATATCAAAACTTGCAAACTCAATAATTTCAATACAACATTCCTCTGCCTGACAAAAACTAGGAATCAATGAACCTCCGTTTCACTATAAACACTAAACCCAGCAGTTGCAGCAATTGGAAATGATCAAGACAACCCCGAAATCATCACGTGTCAATCGTACACAAAAAGTCAATAACCTAAGCCCGACACTCCCTCCGGTCAACCTCAAACTTCGTGAAGAAGCACCGCCGGATGGGGCGACCAATAAGCACAAATAAACAAAGAAGCAAAAACCTCAAAAGGTTCAGCTGTCAAGAGAAATCAACACGAGACAACTTCAAGCAATCAGCTTCAACTTTGATTCTTTTAATGCATTTGCAGCACGAGCCAACCACAACCCACCATATCAAAACTCGCAAACTCAATAATTTCAATACAACATTCCTCTGCCTGACAAAAACTAGGAATCAACGAACCTCCGTTTCACTATAAACACTAAACCCAGCAGTTGCAGCAATTGGAAATGATCGAGACAACCCCCAAAATCATCACGTGTCAATCGTACACAAAAAGTCAATAACCTAAGCCCGACACTCCCTCCGGTCAACCTCAAACTTCGCGAAGAAGCACCGCCAGATGGGGCGACCAATAAGCACAAATAAACAAAGAAGCAAAAACCTCAAAAGGTTCAGCTGTCAAGAGAAATCAACACGAGACAACTTCAAGCAATCAGCTTCAACTTTGATTCTTTTAATGCATTTGCAGCACGAGCCAACCACAACCCACCATATCAAAACTCGCAAACTCAATAATTTCAACACAACATTCCTCTGTCTGAGAAAAACTAGGAATCAACGAACCTCCGTTTCACTATAAACACTAAACCCAGCAGTTGCAGCAATTGGAAATAATTGAGACAACCCCCAAAATCATCACGTGTCAATCGTACACAAAAAGTCAATAACCTAAGCCCGACACTCCCTCCGGTCAACCTCAAACTTCGCGAAGAAGCACCGCCAGATGGGGCGACCAATAAGCACAAATAAACAAAGAAGCAAAAACCTCAAAAGGTTCAGCTGTCAAGAGAAATCAACACGAGACAACTTCAAGCAATCAGCTTCAACTTTGATTCTTTTAATGCATTTGCAGCACGAGCCAACCACAACCCACCATATCAAAACTAGCAAACTCAATAATTTCAATACAACATTTTTCTATCTGAGAAAAATTAGGAATCAACGAACCTCCGTTTCACTATAAACACTAAACCCAGCAGTTGCAGCAATTGGAAATGATCGAGACAACCCCCAAAATCATCACGTGTCAATCGTACACAAAAAGTCAATAACCTAAGCCCGACACTCCCTCCGGTCAACCTCAAACTTCGCGAAGAAGCACCGCCAGATGGGGCGACCAATAAGCACAAATAAACAAAGAAGCAAAAACCTCAAAAGGTTCAGCTGTCAAGAGAAATCAACACGAGACAACTTCAAGCAATCGGCTTCAACTTTGATTCTTTTAATGCATTTGCAGCACGAGCCAACCACAACCCACCATATCAAAACTCGCAAACCCGATAATATCAATACAACATTCCTCTGTCTGACAAAAACTAGGAATCAACGGACCTCCGTTTCACTATAAACACTAAACCCAGCAGTTGCAGCAATTGGAAATGATCGAGACAACCACCGAAATCATCACGTGTCAATTGCACACAAAAAGTCAATAACCTAAGCCCGACGCTCCCTCCGGCTAACCTCAAACTTCGCGAAGAAGCACCAGAAGGGGCGACAGGACTTGATGCCAAACGGAAATCAGGAAGCGCAAACAGGAACCCGAAGAGAAAAGAACTAAGCGAACACGCTCGAGCAATGGTACCAATCATACTTCAGAACCAAAAAAAAAAAAGACACCTCCAGAACCAACCTCAAGCAATCAATCCGCAAATCAAACACGAAAGAAGCAACAGCAACAGCAACTCACCGAGACGACGAGCAGCGCGCGGAGAGGAGAACCCCGGCGAGCCCAGAGGAGGACGCGGCGCCCGGTCTGTCTGGAAGCTTCCCGGAGGACGGGGCCGGCGTCGGCGAGGGAGATCTTGATCCGCCGCGCGAGCGGCTCCCCCGAGGCCCTGCTGGTGTGATCGGGCAACAGGACGGTGGCTCTAATGCGATAGAGGACGGCGTGGAGAGCCGGGGCTGGCGCCTTTGATAGACATGGAAAATCTACCATAAACAAAAAAATAAACGTATGAAATTTTTAATTACGGTAAGTAAGACCCTACAAAAAAAATAAATAAACTACAAAAGAAAAGTAAATAAATTTGAGACCATCAATTTAAATTGTAATTAAATGATAGAGGGCAATTTTGTCTTTGTGATGAAAATAGGGTGAATTTAGTCGTATAGAGGGTAGAAATAGTGCTCCCTTTACATTACATCTAAACCCTTTAACTTAAAGTCATTTACATTTATTCTCCCAATCATGCCCTTAGTGCTCAAGAATAAATTTTCCGATAGGTTTGCAAGATTAACAAAAACAAAAACAAAAATAGTTGCTTTTTAATAAGATTAATATAACAAAAAATGATAAATTTACTACAAATTAATTTTTTGACCACTAAAATTTCTAGACTGATACATTTGTGACAAATTTACCCACCGTTAAATTTGATTAATACCTCGAAAAACTACATCTGTAACAAACGGGAGGTAAAATCCCAAATCGGTACACTCGTTGTCACATGTCATCTAACTCTATAATTTGAGGGTAAAATTTAACAGAAATTAACGGTAAGTAAATTTATCGCAGATGTACCAATTTAAGATTTTTCGTGATTTTAACTCTTTTGATAAATACGAACAATGTTCAAATTCAATATTAGGTATATGCACAAAAATCGCGAAAAAAGATATGTACTCAATACAATGCTATGGAAAGTAAATGGCTTTTATTTTTAGGGTTAATACCATGAAAATCTCAAAACTGGTACACCTGTGATAATTTTACCAAAAACTAATTTTTTGACAAAAAAAACCCCAAACTAGTACACCTGTGACAAATTTACCCTCAGTTTGTTTTTGTTAAATTTTACCGTCAAATTGCTTTGTTAAATGACACGCGACAATTGACTGATGTGTTGGTTTTATGTTTTACCTTCTGTTTGTCATAGATATACTAATTTTTTATTTTTTTTATATTAATCTAATTTAACGGGAACTAACGGAGGGTAAACTTGTCACAAATATACCAGTTTGAGGTTTTTAGTGGTCAAAAAATTAGTTTAAGGTAAATCTGTCGCAGGTGTACCAATTTGAGATTTTTTGTGGTCAAAAAATTAGTTTGTGGTATAATTATCATAAGTTTACCGGTTTAGGGTTTTTCGTTGTATTAATTTTTTATTTTATTTTTGTTTTTTTGTCGTGGACCGTCTCCTTCCTCCTCGCCAAACTCCCCCATCTTTCCGTTCTCCGCCTTTCGGGAGCCCCCACCGCCTGGTTCATTCTAGAGTCTACTGGACTCTCCTCCTCCTCCTCCTCCTCTCTGCTTCTTCTTCCTCCCCCCGCCACCCCCCAAATACTACCGCATCGTCTCCTTCCTCCTCCGTCAATCTCCAAAACTCTGTCCGGCGGAGGGAACAGCGAACCGCCGATCTCGCCGCCGCGGCTCCGAGGATGTTCGGGGTCGTGTTCCCCGACCGGAGCTTCCCGATCGACATCTCCACCTTCGCCCAGATCGACACCTTCCACTGGGTCCTCGACATGAACACCTTCGTCGGTAAGCTCCCTTCTCTCTCTCCGTTTTTTGCCCCGAGCCCCGACGACCCATGATTGATTCCGCGCAAAAAACCCCCTCTTTTTCTTCTGGGTCCTCGCAGGCGAAGCCTACGACCAGGTCCGAGAGATGTGCATCTTCCTCCTCAACGGCCTCGCCCTCCCGCCCGACAAGGCCCTCGCCGTCTACGTCCAGTCCCCCGGGTCCCCCTTCGTCTACTGCGGCGCCGTCACCGTGTCTCGCCCCTCCGCCGTCCTCCCCCTCCCCTGGCCGGAGCCCGGGGGGGACGCCGCCGCCGGCGGGGGGGCGGCGGGGCAGCCGCTGCAGCTGACGTCGCCGGGGGCGGCGCCGCTGTCGGCGAAGATCGGGGTGTCGGTGGAGGACCTGGGGGCGCTGCCGTCGCTGGACGCGGCGGCGGGGAGGAGGATCGAGCGGATGGCGATGAGGGTCGGGGAGAACCTGTTCAACTTCATGCAGTCGTTCTGCGGGGTGGACGGGAGCAAGCTGGTGGTGCCGACGGACATCCTGGACCGGTGGTTCAACAAGTTCCAGGAGCGGGCCAAGCGCGACCCCGACTACCTCAAGGGCTTCGCTTTGTAGCTTTTTCTTCTCTTTTGTATTTGTTTTTTTGGGGCTCTCTTCGTCTGTGAAAAAGGCTTTTAAATTGATGCTTTTGCCTCGTGACTTGTATTCAAACGATTGCATCTTTGTTGAGTTGCCTAACGTTTGTACATCAATCTAAGCGGGCCTTAATATCGCCCCTGAACTTTAGCTGCCGGTGTCCTCTAATGCTATTGGAATTTATCGAATTTATTGCGATCTCTCGTGCTCGCGCACATTGAGACGACCACGATGACCTTGCCCTGTGGTCTCTTGCGCATTAGGTAGGATGACTGCCACGACCTCATCATGGTCCTCGTCAATCTCATATTGGGGTCGCCGAATTGGCGACCTCGATTTAAGGCCTCAGCCACCAAGGGCAATGCCGATTAGATGGCGGCCGAGTTTGTTGGTTGATATTGGTGACGGCGGTGGTGATCGAGTAGCGATGGTCAACTGTAGTCGAGAAGGGCCACGATGTTTTTCTTTCGTTGGTGTTGCGCAGAGAGAGAAACTTAAATAATCCAAAAGGTTGGTTATAAAATATAGTAAAGTCAATAATTAAGTATAAGGGCTAAGGCACGTGCTACGAGCGTGCACATAATTAGGTAATTATGAATGGAAGAAAATGAGTTGTTATGTGTATTGGGTAGGCATCAAATAGAGAAAGTAAGAGTAACTTAGGAACAGACCAAAAAAAAAACAAAAAAGAGTAATTTAGGAAATTTAATGGTGAGAAAAGAAAAGAAAGTAAGTGATTACTTAAGAAATGGATGTGTATGAGAAAAAAGACGAAAGGAAATATAGGAAAAGCTAAAAATGAGATATAGAGGTATTCTTAAATGCATAGGTATACACTCAACCACTTGAGAAATATAAAAGACACAAAGAGCAATTTGTAGATTATTATATTGGATTCATTTATCGGGTATCCTAACTATAAAATCTCAAACTTGTCCCACTCCTAAAGAGTTTTTAGCAATTGACCCCAAACCTCAAACTACTAACTACTTACATCCTGTTAAGATTTGGGCAGATCGACTTCCCTATTATGACCATCTTGCTACCATTCCGGAGAGAGCATGGAATGCCAAGTGCCAACATAGATAATTAATGACATTTTTACCGGTGTTATGTCCCCGCAATTTAGTATTGTAAATGTGTAAATTTGTCCTTTCATATTTAGGAAAAATCAATACATTATTCCTCTATATATAGTTCATAAATTTACATACAAATGGTGGGGATGTTTTGCACATGAGCATTGCTCCATGCATGGATAACTGAATAGTGGGCACAATCTTATGTTATTATTTTCCATTTAGAATGTTCTAAAAAGTTTCGACTTGATGGACTCGAATTAAGGTTTGTTAGGGGTAGCTTCTGTGCCCTTTGAAACCTGACAACCTACTTCCCATTGATTTCCTAAGCTAGGATAGTCACACGATATATTATAGTCAATTAATCTTTTGATTATCTCGGTATATATCATCAATTCACTCATTGAACGGACCTTTTGACTTAAGAAGGTCTAGAATCCGATACCCTTATTGGCCTCGGCAGCGAACCATCGAGAGAACTCTCCAACCCGCATTCCTCACCTGTCACTAGCATCTAGATCTACTAAAAATTACCAACTCCATCTCCCATGTCCTCTCTTATTCATCTTGCTTCTAGTTTTATTATTGCGTAGCACTAACCATTTCTTAACTTCGAGAAAAAAAAAATCCTTAAAAAGCACCTGTGATGTTTTTTAAGGAAAGAATTGTGTTGAGTTGGGTTTTAAAAATCCAGAAATCGTATTGAATTAAAAAAAATTGTATCGTAATTTATAAATAGGAGGAATAGAGGCCTAGTACTTTAAAAAATTTCTAATTTTTTGCTTCAGTCCCAATGTTATCCTAAATTTTTTCGTTCCGTAAAAAATTCCCAACTTTTGGTCCAATTCCAATTCTACCCTAGTTTTTTTTTTGTCTCGTAACAAATCACAACTTTTGGTCTAATTTCAATTCTACTCTGAAATTTCTTTTTTGTTTTATAAAAAACTACCAACTTTTACTTGAGTCCCATATCTGCCTTCGCTAACCCCCGTCCAAAATCGTCTTTAGTGACGTGTCATTTCCACGTCATTGCTCTAATTTTTTCCCAAATCCAAGAAGACATCTTTTGGAAATGAATTTTCATATCGGCGTAAACGGCGTCTTTATCGGATATGAAATCCGGATAAAAACTAGCGCAATTTGAGTTGGCTTCTTCAATTGCTCTTACTCTTTTAAAAAAAAAAAAAGGTGTCATTCTTCCGTTTAGCTCGGGAATCTTTGATTTTGCGTTGAGTCTTTCAATCTTTCGCTATAGCGAGGCACTCGTACGTGACGCTGGAACAACTTGGAAAAGGAGGGGGGGCTTTTCTGGGAAATTTCCATGTCCTTTCTTTTCTTCCGCCGAGATGGGTCCCGCACATTAGCCCCATTAGGAAATTAATTTTCACTCAGATGGACCCCACATGTTGTTGTCCACATGTTGAGGAGCCACGTGCGCAGGTTCGTCGTGGCCATGGTGGATGCTGGCGTCGCTCGTGACCGTGAGAAGGGGAGGGGGGTAGCAGCAACCCCACCTTCTCGATCCGGCGCCCCTCCCCTCCCCTACCCCGGCGGGCCCCACCAGGGACTTCAATTCTATAACCAACAAAATTCCACCGAGAGCTTTCACAGGAATCGCGAGCTCGATTCTCGCCAGTCGGTAGCCGAAGATATTTTCACACAGCCCCTTCCTCCTCGCTCCCGAGCAGTAGCAGTAGTAGCGGCGGCCCACGGCAATGGCGGAGTACGCCGGCGAGGACGAGCCAGCCAACGGCGTCCACGCGGCGGCGGACAAGGTCGAGGTCGTCGAGGTCGAGGTCGAGCGTCGCCGGGAGGCTCGGCCTCCGGCGCCGGCCCCGGCCCCGGCTCTGCACGCCGCCCTCTATCGCATGATAGCCACCGTCCTGTTCCCCGATCACGCCAGCAGGGCCTCCGGGGAGCCGCTCGCGCGGCGGATCAAGATCTCCCTCGCCGACGACGGCCCCGTCCTCCGGGAAGCTTCCAGACAGTCCGGGCGCCGCGTCCTCCTCTGGGCTCGCCAGGGTTCTCCTCTCCGCGCGCTGCTCGTCGTCTCGGTGAGTTGCTGTTGCTGCTGCTGTTGCTGTTGCTTCTTTCGTGTTTGATTTGCGGATTGATTGCTTGAGGTTGGTTCTGGAGGTGTTTTTCTTTTTTTTTTTGGTTCTGAAGTATGATCGGGATGGTTTCTGTCGAGTTTTTACACCTGGAATGCCATTCCTTACGGAGTTGGTCTGCTGAAGTTAGCTGGAGTAGCATCTGGAAACCAGTTGTGATAAGCGGCACTGTGCTGGAAATAGAGTAGAGCGACAAGGTCGGTGTGAGATTCTGGCGTTTTGATATGAGATCGATGATGTGCAGAGCTGTGGAATGATGATACGATCGACTCTTAAGGAGTCAGGTATCCTGAAATGAAAAAAAGGAATTCCCATAGAGCAGGTATGATGGTTGTGCTAAGGTGTCCTGGATTAGGCCCTTCATGCTCAGATGAGTTTCGACTGTAAGAAAGTGAAAAGGAAAGAATAGGGGAATGGGAGGTGTTTAGGATGGTTGAGGGCCGGGTGATGTTGAATTTATTTTCTTCTTTATGTTTTTTTTTTTTGCTATGAGATGTTGATTTGTCATCGTATATAGATGCATACCAAAGCTTTGACACTAGAGGCGATGTTTTGTGGTTCCTTGGCACGAAAGCCTTCAACATGTTTCAGCAACCATGCTTGCTTCCCTTGGCAGAAAGTTACAGAAGCCCCATTAGCACCCATTGCAGACTGTGTAAGTACCTGGCACAAAAGTTGGGCAATCACAAAAGTACCAGCCTATCGCAGAATAATTAACCTGACCTTTGCAAAGATATAAATAGAGATGGCAGCGACGTCTGACTGTCCAAATATATGAATAAATTAGAATCTATGTTTAATTCCTTATAACCCATTATTTAAACACAATAGATTTTAACCATTTTTTTTAATTCATATGGATTGAACAATTCACGCTTATGAAACTTTTGATATTTGATCTACACAAATGAACACTGAGAGGCTTCAATTAGAAGATTTGTCTTAACTGTAGGGGGAACAGTCAGCAGAGACAGGGAACAAAGTCCAAGTAATGTGGCTATAAATCTTTAAGTGCCTTGAATGTAAGGATCTTATGGAGGACTCCGTGTTGAACCGGATGCATAGTGTAACTTGATCATGTAGCATGTTCATGTTTCCCCTATAATGGTATAGTGTGGGTTATTGTTGGAAGAGAGGAACAGAGGTCGGCCATGCATTCTATTCCTGGGAGGTGTGATAAGTTTGCTCTCTGTTGTTGGAGTGTAGTTCATTTCCATGCCTTTGTACGGCTTGTTTACTTAATGTTATATTAATAAAACTGCTCTAGTAGCTCTGTACATTCTTTTTCAGGTAATATGCAAATTCCTTTAGCATGTACTTGCAATGTGCTAATACTCAATTATCAAAATTACAATTACTATCAGCTATTCAAAATGTGAAATTTTCAGCCAGGTGATTCTGCATTGATTTTCATTGCTACTGAATTTTATGTTGATTTCGAGTTAGCTACATACCTTTGCCAGTCTGATGGATAGCCAATTATGGTCATTTGCCATGTAAAAGTGCCAAAAATTTGGGACAGAGTACCTAACTGGTGGTTGGATGAGGGTATATAGAGCCTGATAAGCATGAGCACATCCACATGGTAGGAAAAGTTTCTGTTGGTTGTTGTTCATGCTCTACTTTTTGAGTTTCAGCTGTATAAGTCAGTATCATATGTTCTGTTTGATAAGCAAAATAGAGAACCTTTACTTTCTTAAGCATTGTCTGGCCTGAATTGGGTCACTTTAAGAAGTGCCATAATTGATGCTCTTTGAGTACTTCCAAAATGTTTATTTTGACTATTATGATTCTTGGCAGATTGGAACAATTGCTTTTCTTGCTTTGACGGGACTTCTTGTGTTCATGCTCTTTTTCCTTGCGGCAACGATCAATGCAATCGTCATTTCTCTCCTGATGTCTATGGCTGCAGTAGGGAGTGTATTGGCTCTTTTCTTTGCCTGTGTGACAGCTGTATATGTTGGTGCTCTGGTTATCGCTGTTTTTGTTATTTCTACAGCAACATGCTCTGCAGTGCTAGCTGTTCTTGTAGCTACAGGTAAACAAAGCTGGTGCTGCTCCTTGTTAAGAAGTCATACTTCAATTTATCTATTTTGGTCACATCAATAAGTTACACTACCATTTGTTTCTCACCTTCAATTATGATTTACTTATTTCTTTGTTTTAATCTTTTGTAGAATAATTTATTTGAAACGACAGAATACTAATGCATTCACATTTCAAAGTGGTTTGAAAAATCCTACTTCATTGCGCTTGCACCCGCTAACAAAAAAAAAACGACCTACCTCTGCCACTGACTAATACTATCCGAATATCCCAAGATTGCCCTCCAAGTGTCCTTTTATGGCTCGAGTTGTCTTCTTTATAAATACTTCAATTCCGCTGCCAAAGGCTGCCTATTGGCATTAGGATGATTATGGAGTTCTAGACAACTAAAGAATGGAGGTAGTGGGTTATTTTCTGTAGTAATTGTTGCAACATGGTTTGTCTTTACTGACTGTCAAATCAATACAAGCAATTGTAGCTATTTATAATTGTTGCAACATTGTTTGTCTTTACTGACTATCAAATCAATACTAGCAATTGTGCCTATTTATTTTATCAAGGGTTTCTTCTATTCATACGAGTCTGTTGCTATTGCTATTAGCTTCAGTTAGATCCACATACTTGATAGTACTGGAGCAGATGATGCATACAGAGGTTATTACTTGCCCAGAACCTTTCGTGCATCTGCCATCTATGAACCTGTTACTAGTTTCACGACTCTAGTTTTTGGATTTGAAATTCATGAGCGCATTCTCCCTTGGATTTACGGTGTGTTTTTAAACACCTGAGATGTGAATTCCATCATGGCACAGGTTGGATAGGTTTTCTTTGGACTGTCTGGTTGGCAACTAAGAAAAGCTTGGACCTTGCAAAACATTCTATCAGTGTGACTGGTTCAGCCCTCTCAGCCTATTCTACTGGTTGGCATTCCCATCACCACCAGGGACGCAGTAAAATCTCGGATTGAAGTGCCACTTTATATGTATCTCCTTGTGTAAATGTTGCTGGGGGCTTTTATGGTGTGATGAGCTGCTTTCCCTTCGGTTTTCATGATATGTACAAAGGCAGCAATGAGATTAATGGCTATGCTAGTACTTATATTTGTTTGCATGAGGTTTGGAAGCTTAATCTGTATCTGGTGCTGTTAGACGTGGTTTGTTGCATCTTATAAGTTATAACTCGGTACAGATGTGAATTCATAGTTGTGATTATCTCCACTGTCTTCTGCTTTTTACCTTTTTTTATTATTTTTTTGTTTCCAAGAAACAGGTTACTCTCTTTGGCTACCAAGATGAAGGAAAATTAAACGAGAATAATCAGAATGCTTACACACACCATTGAGACATGTACGCACAATTTTCTTTGCCCCATCGCGATCACACATTGCCTTAAGTTTATCTGAGTGTACTGTTCACTTTGTTTACTTTAGGCTTTTATTTGTCACAAACCCCAGACATTATTTCTATGTGTTGTGACAATTGGGTTAAAGAATATCATTTAGACACTGAACAGATGGGTAGGAACGAGCGTCTTGAATCTGCATCTTGGGGACGTTCGACTTTCCATTAAATCCTAAAGACCAGATATCCGATGGGAAAGTGGAAGGGAATTTCTTAATCTTTGGTTCTGATTAGGGGTGTGCAAAAGAATCGGAAACCGTTCGGACTGCCCGGGACCGCCCGGAACCGGTGGTTCCTAAGGGAACCGGTCCGGTTCCCAGTTCCAATTTTTGGGAACCGGTGGGTATCGGTTCCCGGTTCCAGGTATGGAACCGCCCGCTCGCCTACCCGGACCATACTAGTAATATAATAATAAATATAATATATTTACTTAATTTTTAATTTTTTTTAAAAAAAAAGAAAAATCCTAAATTCCTAAACTAAACATAACTCGTTTGACATTCACAGCCTCACATTAAGCCGAGAAATATATTCTTTCGCTTTCGCCTCACGCTCACTCTTTTTGGTTGATGCTCATCTAACCGTCTCCAACTCTCCATTTCCGTCTCCGTCTCTATCTTTTCGTCTCCGTCCTTGGCTAGTGGGACCGGTTCCATAGATTCACCCGGGAACCGAACCGGGCTGACGGTTCGATTCTTGGGTGGATACATGGAAACAACGGGCGGTTTCCGGTTTCAATTTTTTGGAACCGGTTCTTAGTGGGTGGTTCCGGAACCGGTCCTTAGTGGGTGATTCCCAATTCTAGGATAGGAATCGCCTACCCGGACCATGCTCATCCCTAATTCTGATCATCTTTCCGTGAGTTTTGAGGAGTATAGTTCCGTGAATCCTTCTTCGTCATGGCACAGTATTTCTTATCTTATTGCTTCGAGAATGTTTTGTGGCAAACAGGATTGCAACTTTATAAGGTCACTTGAACAGGTTCTTTGAAGTCCTCTCAAGACAGAATCATCAATGCCATGTCTTAATTGTCAAGGATTTGCCATGTTGATGCTAATGTTTCCGTACCCATCGTTTCAAGATGTGGCCAAAAATCTTTGGGAAGTTTCAAGTAAGCAAGGTGAGCTTCCTTCCTACTTCCTCATATGTCATTATCTTCTGAATGCAGGATTATGTTCCTTGTTGCATCGAAGTAACTTGTCAAGATTGTCGCGATTGCTTAATGCTTCTCCACACGGGCATGGTGATTCGTTTTGTTGGATCTTCTCGGTCTCTTCCTTCCCCTGCGCTACGTGGAAGCTCCTTCGGATTCAATAGCGCGTCGTATTCTATCAAAGGAGTTCTCAAATCAGTAGCACCACTGATTTGCACTTATTTCTGACGGCACGCGTATTGATGTGTCGTGTCCCTTGACCGTAAATGCGAATGCGGATATGGAAATGGACCACTAGATTTCCTTGTTGTAATCTCTAGATTGAGCCGAGCCTCAAGCACCGTGTGCTTGCTGTTTTTTCTCATCTCGCACGATCATTGCTGGCCCTTAATCCCATTCAATTTGTCCATAACAAAAATCAAACAAAAGAAGAGAAAATCGTTACGAGTTCAATATTGCATATGGGTTTGGAATGCGTAGTATGTAATAGAAGTTTGTTAGATTGAATTGACATATGGTATAAATGGTAGGGCATGTCATATCAGCGTGCAAGCGACGGGCCGCCTTCAATCCATCGAGTTTGATCGGGTCATTATGGGTTAGGACTTCTTGTCATCCCTAGCTTAAAGTATCTAGTGTACACCTTAGGCTCTGATTTTACCCAAATGATAGAACTTGACTAGGGTATTTCAGGCTCATACTCGACCCAAGCCGCAAGATTGTGTCCAACTTGATAGAATGTCCTGTAAGCTCAACTTCGACTTGTTTAGATTCAAGCCGTCGAGTAAATTCTCATTTGAGCTCGACAAGATTGAAGATTTTCTTAGTATACTTTCACGTATCTTTGAAATCTAAGAACGAAGTATGAAACTAGGTCCACAAGCTGGTCATGTAAAGTAGTTAATTCGAGCTGGACTTGGTGAAAACGGTCGAGCGACTCGAGCTCTTCGAACTCGACTCGGAAAACAGCCCGAGCTCGCCCCCCAAATAAGTCGAGCTGTGGAGTAGGTGCGACTGTTGGGTGACCGGACCCTAGTCCTTTCGAACTCCCCCTTAATCTTTATCCCCGTTCCTGGCCGCAAAGGGAACGTGGTCCACATAAAACGTGTGCTGGATCTTGTCTGTGACCCAAAAGAGGAAAATCGAAAAAGAGAGCGACCCTCTTTTGTCCCTCCCTTCCTCGTTGTCGCCTAACTGTCAAAATGCCCTTTTTTGGATCAAACCCTCTTTCTGCGCTGGGCTCGGCGACACCAGAAAAGACTTGGTTCTCAAGTGTTGCAGGGGCGCACAGAGAGAAGAAAGACAACTGGACCTGCAGCATCGGATCTTGGACTCACCACTCCACGTCCAAACCCTGTTCGAAACCTTTAAAAAATTTCGCCTCTTTTTTTTTTTATTTTTTCCCTCGTAAGTGGTGTAGGTTGAAGTGATCATCATCCGGTGCATGAATTGCAAGACCCTTTTAAATGTTAGGGTTAGTCGCACAAACACAAAGAAATAGAGAGTAAATAAAAATTCGAGTCACGGGATTTTATCATAATTTACCCTTAAGTTAAGGCTACGTCCAATACAGGATTTCACTATATTTAGCACTTTTCACCTTTCTGTTACATCTCTTAATTACAATAAAAAGATATCATATATACTCGGTAGCTGTTTATGGATCAAAATATATACATGCCCAAATTATAAAAGCCCGGCATCGTAAGGGCGTTATCCCCTATAACCCCATTAAGGCGGCCCCTTGGACCCTCGCTCGCTCATCGGGGAGCAAGAGCCTGTGCTTTTTTATCGATGGGGATTACGAACCACACCCTCGGCATCAAAAGCAAACATGTACAAACACTCGATTGCACACGGAATCTCTTTCACCAAGCACTCGATTGGATTAGCTGAACTTGTTTGTGCGAGTTGTTTGTAGAATTGATGATGGGTTGGGCAGGGTAAAAATGCCAACTTGGAGCCGTAGGGGAAGAGGGCCCCAACCTCCCCCACCTCAGGAATCGAAACCATTCCAGCCTTTTTCCCCATTTCCAATTTTGACCCCACCACCTTCCCTCAACTCCAACCCCCATGTGCCTCCTCTGTTTCCCTCCCTGTGTCTCTGCCTGCATTGAGCTTCATTCATAGGTAGTGCAGGGCAGAGCTCCTCTCACTGTCAACCCTCATGAGCTGAGCAAGAAAACAGAGCATCCCTCGCTAACCCCATCTTTCTCTTCTCTTCTCTCTCCGTCTCTGTCTCTGTCTCTCTCTCCAAGATGGGGAGGACCACTCGCCTCCTTCGCCGCCGCCTGCTCTGCCCTCTCCTCCTCCTCCTCCTCTGTTTCTCCGCAACCTCCTCCTCCCCGTTGGCCGCCGCCGACGACGGGGACGCCGCCGCAATGCTGGCCCTCAAGAAGTCCCTCGCCGCCCCGGAGTCCCTCGGCTGGTCCGACCCGGACCCCTGCCGGTGGCCCCGCGTGGTCTGCTCCGAGTCCAGCCGGGTCACCCGCATCCAAATCGGCCGCCAGGGCCTCCAAGGTACGCTCCCCGCGAACCTGAACTCCCTCACCCAGCTGGAGCGCCTGGAGCTCCAGTTCAACAACCTCTCCGGCTCGCTCCCGAGCCTGAGCGGCCTGAGCTCGCTCCAGGTCCTCATGCTCAGCGGCAACCAGTTCGATGCCATCCCGACCGGCTTCTTCGATGGGCTGTCGTCGCTGCAGTCCGTCGAGATCGACAGCAACCCCTTCGCCGCCTGGGAGATCCCCCAGAGCCTGCAGAACGCGTCCGCGCTGCAGAATTTCTCCGCGAACTCTGCCAACGTGACCGGGAAGGTCCCCGACTTCTTCGGGGCCAACGACTTCCCCGGCCTGACTCTTCTTCACTTGGCATTTAATGATCTCGAGGGCGGGTTGCCCCCGAGCTTTTCCGGGTCGCAGATTCAGTCGCTCTGGCTCAATGGGATGGCCGGTAGTGGGAAGCTCGGTGGACGGATTGATGTTATAGCCAACATGACTTCCTTGAAGGAGGTCTGGTTGCATTCCAACTCCTTCTCCGGCCTGTTGCCGGACTTCTCGGGGCTCCAGGACTTGCAGACCCTGAGCCTGCGGGACAATCTGTTCACTGGCCCTGTTCCGTCGTCGTTGACGGGTCTCCAGTCCCTCCAGTCCGTCAACCTGACCAACAACTTCCTCCAAGGGCCGGTGCCCAAGTTCGGGAGCTCGGTCCAGGTGGATATGGCGGAGGACTTGAACAGCTTCTGTTTGCCGGGTCCAGGGGACTGTGATCCCAGAGTGAATACCTTGCTTTCGATCGCGAAGTCGATGGGTTATCCACAGAGATTGGCGGAGAACTGGAAGGGGAATGACCCGTGCTCCGGTTGGATCGGAATCACTTGCAACAATGGGAACATCACCGTTGTGAACTTTGAGAAGATGGGCTTCAACGGCACCATTTCCCCGGATTTCGCCTCGCTGACGTCGCTGCAGAGGCTCATCCTCGCGAGCAATAATCTTACTGGTTCCATTCCCGTGGAGCTTACCACCCTCCCCGCGCTCGCGCTTCTCGACGTGTCGAGTAATCAGCTTTACGGTAAAGTCCCGACTTTTAAGAGTAACGTGATCGTCCAAACTCACGGTAATCCCGACATTGGGAAAGATAAGAGTAGTCTTTCAACGCCTGGATCACCCCACGATGCTGCAGGTCCATCAGGTAGTGTAACATCCCAAAATGGTGGTCGATCAGGCAAAAAGTCTGCTTTGATCGGAGTCATAGTGGTTTCTGCCATCGGCGGCTTGTTTTTGATTATCTTGCTTGGTTTGTTGGGTTTCTGTCTATATAAGAAGAAACAAAAGCGGTTTACCAGAGTACAGAGCCCCAATGCAATGGTGATTCATCCACGCCATTCTGGATCCGACAATGAAAGCGTGAAGATAACGGTCGCAGGATCAAGTGTTAGTGTCGGTGCGATCAGCGAGACTCATACTGTACCGGGCAGTGAAGCCGGTGACATTCAAATGGTCGAAGCAGGAAACATGGTGATTTCTATCCAAGTCCTGAGGAATGTCACCAACAATTTCAGCAAGGAAAATATATTAGGACAAGGTGGTTTTGGGACGGTGTATAAGGGGGAACTTCATGACGGGACAAAGATCGCAGTGAAAAGAATGGAGTGCGCGGTTATAACCGGGAAGGGCCTTGCGGAATTCAAGTCCGAGATTGCTGTTTTGACTAAGGTTCGACACCGTCACCTCGTCGCCCTGCTCGGTTACTGCTTGGATGGCAATGAGAAGCTTCTCGTGTATGAGTACATGCCCCAAGGGACACTTAGTCAACATCTTTTTAACTGGCCCGAAGAAGGACGTGCACCGTTGGAATGGATGAGAAGGTTGACCATTGCCTTGGATGTGGCAAGGGGTGTCGAGTATCTCCATGGTTTAGCGCATCAGAGTTTCATACACCGGGACTTAAAGCCATCGAACATTCTCCTTGGACATGATATGAGAGCTAAGGTGGCGGATTTCGGTCTTGTGCGTCTTGCACCGGAGGGAAAAGGCTCCATCGAAACCAGAATAGCCGGAACATTCGGGTACTTGGCACCGGAATATGCAGGTTAGCCCTCGACTTTAATATCAGTTCCCTCATTTACAAAGCCTTGGATATATATTCTTTATTTGCCTATGATAATTCGGTGGTAACTGGTGTTGCACTGTGTAAAATTATCTGAATTGCAACAACTAGTGCTACAATAGCAGATTAGAATATGGAAATGGCACTTCCAGAGACCAATTATAGCGTTCGTCCTCAGAAATCATGTCTTTTTCCCCTGACCAAAAAGTACTATAGATCCATACGATAACACTTCTTTGTCAAAGATCAAGCGCTTGCACTCAACTCACTCTGGTCTAGCAATCCATGGCTACGTTAGTTTCGCAAGCATTTTACATGTTTGAGGCAAGACCATTGTTGCAAAAGAGCAAATTAGCTGGAAACTAGACCTGCCCTCATTGCCTTTGACATGCCATTTTGTCTTAGCTAGTTAATTTGGATCTTCCTTCTGTTACACGTCAAACTTCTAACAACTAGACCCTGATCATGGTGATATTATTGCAGTGACTGGCCGAGTGACGACGAAAGTAGACGTTTTCAGTTTCGGGGTGATCTTGATGGAGCTGATCACTGGAAGAAAAGCGCTCGATGAGAGTCAGCCTGAGGACAGCATGCACTTGGTGACATGGTTCAGGAGAATGCACATCAACAAGGACACGTTTAAAAAGGCAATCGATCCCACGATTGATCTCAACGAGGAGACGCTCGCCAGCATCAGCACGGTAGCCGAATTGGCCGGCCACTGTTGCGCTAGGGAACCCTACCAAAGGCCTGATATGGGCCACGCCGTCAACGTACTATCTTCTCTAGTAGATGTGTGGAAACCGACTGATCAAAACCCCGACGACATCTTCGGGATCGACCTGGAGATGTCGCTGCCACAGGCCCTAAAGAAGTGGCAGGCGTACGAAGGAACGAGTCACATGGATTCCTCGGCATCGTCATCCGACCTCCCGAGCTTGGATAACACTCAGACAAGCATACCCACACGACCATACGGGTTAGCCGAGTCGTTCACGTCCGCGGACGGAAGATGACATGGAAGGTGTAAATCAGAGGGGGGGGGTGTGTGTGTGTGTGTCCATTCTGTTTGCTTCTTGTTTTTGGTGCTTTCTTGTCATGTAATCTATCTCGACTCACGATTCTTTTCACGGTTTTTTTTAGCCTGATCTGAGTTTCTAAACTTTCTTTTTATCCATTGATACTGTAGTTGAAGCTGTTCTGTATGAGGTGATCTGCAAATGGTTTCTTGGAAAGATTTTTTTATTTATACTTTCAGGCACACCCAACTTCCAGTACCATTAGATTCTTCAAATTAGGTGATTCACTCAAATTTTGTGCTGTTTGTTCTATGACAGATGCCATTCGCAGGACAGGATATTGTAATGGGAAAGTTGGGTGGGGTATGCAAATCATATGCATGCACGTGTCCATGGAATCGCAAGGGATTAAAAGAAAAACAGGGGAAGCTGAGTAAGGTCACATGCGAGTCAAAGGGCAGTTTCAACAACTCCTGCAATAATGCCTTGGGATGATACGTAGGTTTTAGCGGCCTTCATCTTTAGTTTTCCTAACTTCATATGTTCGATCTTTTTGCTTGATTACGTTAACGAATGCCCCGGGACAGATATTAAATATATCCGACGTGAAACGATTCGTCGATTTTTTTGAAGATCGATTTCACATAACATGGTAAAGGCAAGTCTACGGGAAATCGCAAGGTTTCTTGGTCGACTGTTTAACGAGGGTTCTTGAGGTGTTCGGTAATAAAATTATTAGAAGCCGTACTCGCTCCAATTCTTTTAGGATGACGAGGTTCCAATTTACATCGGTAAACTTATCTAAGCATGTCCTTAAAAAGCTTAACTCTAAAGTCTCTTCGGCACCTTAAGGGAATAAACCCTACCCTCCCAGGAGTTGAAAGTAGACCGGCCGCCAGATCGTCAAACAAGGTGTTGTAGTCCTTGTAAGTGGAAACACCCTTCCTTGGTGAGGTAAACTTTACCACAACACCGAGAATCCAAGAAAGCTCACAATAAGATAAAGGTAAGGTTTCCTTATAATGAAACGCGACCTAATGTCCGGTACGGATCATCTAAACAAGAAATTATTTGCACTCGAACGGCGAATCAAACCCGAGTATCATGGGCATATATATATTATTATGATTCATAAATTTCGACTATAGTATATTCAGAGAGGAGGAGGAGGGGTCCAAATCGGGGTGGGGTGGGCAGCTGTGTCCCCCCAAGAACACATGGGTTCACGTTCAGGTTCCTGGGCTTGCCGATGCAATTTCCACTGCTGTCATTGAATTGTTATTGTCTGGTCGTACCCTCTTTCCCTTCATTTTTCTTGTTTTAAAATTTCCGGTCCATTTCTCCAAGTTTGGGTCTCCCCATGAAATTTGACAGACCTATGCTGCAAATTATTATTTTGGGGCAAGGAGGTCAGACATGACAAAATAACTAGAAAAAATACAAAGATTAAATCTATAAGTACAATAAAAAAAAGAAAAAAACGTTCGGTAGTTAAAATCTCACTTACCGCGTGGTTAAAATAGTTTTTCACCGCCTCTTTGAGATACCCATTTACATTCTACGCTACGACACCGAATCTGCCACCACGAGCAGAAGAAGCTCACCGGACAAACACGTGAATTTGCGTAAGAACGGAGAGAAATGTCGCGATGTGTATCCCTAGCAACGGCGATTAAGAGGGCGTTTGTTTGAGGGAATTTGTTTTCTAGGAATCCGTTTTCCGAACTTTTACCTGTTTGGTTCGTTGAAAATGATAAGTCAACTGAAAACACTTTCCGGTTAAGGAAAATATTTATATATAAATTTAAGAAAGCGAATTCCCTAATCTAAGTAGGTGAAAACACTTTCCACAATTGCTCATCTTGAATTTGTTAATATTTTATTTTTTCTTTTCTTTCTTTTTTTCTCCTTTTCTTTTCTTTCTTTTTTTATTATTCTTATCATATATGTTTTAAAAAAAATCAAATTTTTAATTGTTTTTATTTTTAAAAAATCGAAATTTTTATTATTTTTAATCGTTTCCTTTTCTTTTTCTTATTTTTTCTTCTTTCTTTTTTGTTCTTTTTTTAAAAAATTCAATTTTTTTAAAAATAATAAAAATAAAAACTATTAGAAAAACTCAAATTTTTTTTTTTTGCTTGAGATGAAGTGGTGAGATTGAAATCATTTTCCAATAAAATCCAAATATCAGAAAATGATTTCGATCATATATCACCAAACAAAGGAAAACTAACCGTATTCCTAGAAAATGCATTCCAGGAAATTATTTACCTTTATCATTGAGTTTTTCGTGAAACAAATGGACCTTAAATTATCTTCTTTCGGAACGAAGGGAAGTATCTGACCATCCGGGCTTGCGAAAATTTGCACTACAAATGTATCTTTTTCGTTGCAAGTCATTTTCCGATGTCGTGAATCGAGATATTTTTATATTCGAGTACTGTGAATTGCATGATATACACTGCTACTGGCATTAAGTCATTTTGCGGATTCCATTTGAGCAAAAGAAAATATAGATAATTTCTATCAGTAATTTTTAGTCTTTCTTTCTTGTTTAGCTTCTGTCGAGTTCGGGTAGTCGGTGCTTCGGGTCGGGTGTATTCAATGGGGGCGACGAGGCCCGGCAAAGCCAAATGGGCCCAATTCGAAGCATCTAAGTAAATTGGGCCTACTGAGATTTGTGTTTCCCGGGAGAGCTTGGTCCATAAGTTCGAATCTTGGGCCTGCAAAAGGCATAATGATTTCCAAAAAATTATGTTTTCGAGGGACAGGCTTGGGCCCCCGAGGCGAGATACCCCTAAGGGTGATTGGTTCTCGGTTCGGGCGATCGATGTGCCGTAGTTCGAGCAGTATTGTCCGACCTTATTTGAAGAACTTAATAGTATGTCAAGCTAAAACCCATGCTCGATATGACCGATGTGTTTTCAATAAAGCTATTGCCATCGGCATATCGTGGTCTCGACCCAACTACAATCCTCAAGTCGAACACTAATGTCATCGATAAAAAAGAGTGTGTCCTAAATAAAGTCAAGGAAAGAGTCGTTATAACTCACCTTTCAAAGGAGAAGGGCAAATTTAAATTGTGATAAGTGAATATGTGTGCATTTTGCAATTACACATATAATTTCGATTTCAATAACTCAATAGGTTAAATTTTCTTTCTTCCGCAATTGATGCACTCAGACTGTTAATAATTAATACTGACGTGGCACCCGGTTTGCACAGCATCCACCCAAAATAATAAAATAAGTAAAATTTACATTAAAAACAAATTAAAAATCAACTGTCTTTTGCCCTTGGGATTGGAGATTGATGATCAATTAGTGCTTTCACACATTTAAATGTGAAACTTTCATAAAGAAAAAGAGAAACTCATAAATAATTCAAGTACACATATGTTTATTTTTGAAATTTTGTACGGGGTAGACCTTTCTATAGGGTACCTTGCATTGTGTATAATCTATAGTATACACTGTACAGGATGTGTACAGGACGGTATCACCCCAAATCTTGGAACCTATCCTTTACTCACCGATTTCGAAAATTTGGAATTTGAAACCTGCCTTACGAGATCTGATACCCACCCGAACCATATATGACCATACCAATTTTATAGGGTCTGCCGGTTCCATAGGTTCTCCTACACACCCGGGTGCAATTGCCACGACTCTCGAACACTCACCGACATCATGGCAGACGCTCGCCAAGTCACCATGGTTGGATAAGTTTTGCCGTCACCATGGCGGACACGCCACATGGAAAGTAGGGCAAAGAGGAAAAAGATGAGCACCGTTAACATTTCGGAAAAGTACCAAAAAGTCGGGAAAAGTGTCAAAAAAGTCATAAATCTTTGGCATTGGTGCCAATTCAGTTATAAACCTTTTGTATTGGTGCTAATTTAGTTCTAAACCTTTTTTTGGTGCCAATTCAGTTTGTAAACCTTTTGCATTAGTGCCAATTCAGTTCTAAATCTTTTGTCTTTGTGCCAATTTAATCCTTCCAATCATTTTTGGCTGGATTTTGCTGATGTGGACGCGGACGCGGACCGGCCACCGGCGCTGATGTGGATAACTTTAATAATATTTTAATATTTTAAATAATTTTTATTTATTTATTTATTTTTTCCCTCCCCTCCCTCCTTCCTCCAGCCGGTTGCCGGACTGGCGACCAGCTAGAGGCCAAAGGCCGGCGAGGTCGACCTCGCTGGCCACTAGCGAGGCTCGCCCTCGCCAGCGACTGTGAAGGCGAGCCTCGCCCAGCCGCTGGCGAGGATCGAGCCCTCGCCCGAGGCCTTCGACCTCGCGGCCTCCGGCGAGGGCTCGAGCCTTGCCCGCCTAACACAAGGCCGCCCTCGCGGCCAACCGGCGAAGGCGAGCCTCGCCAGTTGCCTCACCGGCCTCTGGTCGATCACCGGTCCGCTGACTGGCTGGAGGAAGGAGGGAGGGGAGGAAAAAAAAAATCAAAAAATATTAAAATATTATTAAAAGTTGTCCACGTCAGTGCCGATGGCCGGTCAACATCCATGTCAGCAAAATCCGGTCAAAATTGGCCGGAAGGACTGAATTGACACCAAAAAAAGGTTTAGGACTAAATTAGTACCGATACAAAAAGTTTATAACTGAATTGGCACCAAAAAAAGATTTAGGACTAAATTAGCACAAATGCAAAAGTTTTAGGACTTTTTTGACACTTTTCCCCCAAAAAGTCATATATCTATTGCATTAGTACCAATTTACTTCCTAAACTTTTTAATTAAACCAATTTAGTCCCAAATTTTTTCACATTGGTACCAATTTAGTCCATTTGGCCAATTTAGGCTGCAAATTACTGACGTGGACGTCGGCCGTCTAACATGCGTTGGCCGTCCTACATGGCATGACCCGGTACTGACATGGACAATTTTTATAATTTTTTAAAATATTTTTTTATAATTTTTTTCCTTCCAATTTTCTTCCCTTTTCTTTTTGCTTGTGCTTGTGGCCAGTCGCCGGCCACCGCCCACAGGTCATGACCGATGAGGGCTAGCCTTGCCTTGGGGAGGATGAGTGCTAACAAGGTTGACCCTCGCCCAGACTAGGGGGCCTCGTCGGCCACCGCCCACGGGTCAAGATCGGTGAGGGCTAGCCTTGCCTTGCCTTGGGGAGGATGAGTGTTGGGAAGGCTAACCCTCGCCCAGGCCAGGTGGCCTCGCTAGGCCTCGATGAATTGACACCCAGAAACAAAGGGCATCATGTTTGTTTGCAGCATTGATGGAAGCCTCAACGAGGCCAAGTTCAGAAAGCCCATGCCCTGTATTGGCATCTATATAGCAGGAGCTTCCTTAGCCTGCGCGGTTGCAATGGCCGTGGACGCTGTGGCCGGTTCTGCTACTAGAAGCTTTGGTTCCCGAGCCGCTACCTCGCCCTCAATGCCACGTCCCTGAGCATCATTGCGGTTGCGGTCAACCTCTTCGGTGACCTCAACATGCTGATGCTGTGACTGATCCTTGCCCAGGCGACGACAAGGCTCACTGGGCCTTGCCCTTGCCTAGGGGAGGCTCAGCGAGGTGCTGCGAGGCCGCCTAGGCCTGGGCAAGGGTCGGCCTCGCTAGATTTGGGGAGGGGATCGACACTTGCCCTTGCACCACCGGCACAAGCAAAAAGAAAAGGGAAAGAAAAGGGAAAGGAAAAAAAATGTTCACATCAACACCAACTGTGTCATGTAGAACTGTTAGTGTCCATGTCAGCGATTGCCGGTTTAAATTGGTCGAATGGATTGAATTAGTACTAATGTGAAAAATGTTTATGACTAAATTGATCAAATTGAAAAGTTTAGAACTGAATTGGTACCAATTCAATAAGTTCAAGACTTTTTTGATATTTTTCCCGTTAACGTTTGCTAGCTTTATCAAAACGATGTTCATACATTAGACAGCTCGTGAAGCCCATTTGCGGGTGTATTGAAAGTGAATCCTCTGTGCAGAACTTTACGCAACTATGTGCAATTCTACGGTGTCGCTTGTGACAGAGGTAGAATGTACGTATTCATGTCGAAAAAGTATCGTTCGGTAGAGTGTGAACCAGCAGGAGTGCTTGCATGCTTTTCATGCTTGACTCATAAGCACTTGCGAGGTTGACTTGTTTTTTTAAAGCAGGCTAGATTGACCAACAAACCGGGCAGAAACCTGGAGCTCGGCAATAATTTGACCAAAGCTCCATAATATGTATACAATACGTATCTTAACATACATGTTTGCGTGCTTGACGTACATGGTTCGAAAAGATTGAACACATGTACAATACATATCTTACTTTTGAGTAGACTTGTTAAAATGGGACATAGACCTATTTCTTAACCTATATATGATGAGTCGAATTGTTATATAGGTTAGTTATGCACAGTAAATAGGTTTTAACATAATGTGGATGTTAAATGAATTATAAATGCGTCATAAACGAGATCCACCTCTATGACTCTCTCTTTATTCTCTTTCTCATTCGATTTTGTGCTCGTTCAGTTTGCATTTTTACCTCAGTTTGGATATGCATTTTCCTAGATTGAGTTAAATATGGAAGCGTTTTAGTAATATTGGTGTGGTCGGGTGAGTGTCACTATATTTGTATTTTATGAAAATGTGTCAAAACGAGTTAAACGGATCTATATGAGTCGGACCATTTTTGTCCCGACCCGATCCACTCTTTGACAGGTCCTTTTTTGGGTTCCTCCGTTGTCAAATAGACACATGCCGTGCCAAATAGAAAATAACGGGCCGGTCGCATCTGAGAAGCTCGATGCATACATAGCACGGAGCCTCGAACTTCTTTTTCTTTTCTTTTCTTTTCCGGATCAAGCGATTAGACGGTGTCCCATGTCAGTTTTCTCTCGCAACTCGACTTTTTTCCTTCGTCCATTTCAATTCACTGGTCCAAAACATCCGAACTCCGCCACCACGACCACCACCTCCACCGGTTGCATCTGCCCCTAGGCAGTCTCAAAAGCTCTATCGACCTACCTGGTTGCTTCCATTCTCATCTACCGCACGGCAGGATGGCCCCGATGCCTTATCCTGGAAACTAGCAAACCAAGAAACTTTAGTACACTCAGTCTTTCGTGTGAACGACGGTTCAAAACTAGTGACTGGCTCGCGAGTTCCGTGGAGAAGCGGTCGAGAGACAAAACGCTTCCAGTTGTCGTACTTTCAGTACAGAAAACAGGAGGACCCCCATGAATCCAGGGGGCTTTCGCATGTGGATCATTAAAAACGGTTCAAACTTACTGCAAATCTTGATCGATGGGCTTCGGTTTCCGTGCAGCTGCGTCCAATTCCCCCTATCGCGGATCCGATTCTACGCAACCCCATTTCAAGATTTCATCATCTCGATGAGTCAAAACCCCCCCTGAAACAGGAGCTGTGGGACGAAGGAAGCAGTTGAGCACTACCCCATTTGGATTCTTGCTTCGGCTTGGGCAACCTGGTACAGAATAAGATATTCGGATTGGGCTACGATGAGCCAAACGCCGATCGTTGACCCTTTGAACACTCTGATACCAACTGCACTAGAATACTAATACTTTGCTTTGTTTTGCTGAAATCTGCTCGCCGGTTCATATACTCTAATGATATTCAATGAATTTCGCTCTCCATTGGCCATCGCATTGAATGCTGAAAGATCCACTGATTTTCATGCTCCTTTAATATTTTTATAGTACCGTTCTTTTGTAGTTTAAGCATGGGATTGTGAGAGACCCAAATGAGGCCTGTCCCATGTCAGAACAGAAGTTGGTTTTAACTTTGAGAGAAAGAGTTTGGCTTCTTGGACCGAAAGCCCCACCAAATCTGCCTTTCAAAATCTCAAATTTGACCTTTCTAATGATCTCATTTAAATGATGATTCCGTGAGCTGCTCCAGTCAAAGCCATATTGTGAAGAGATCGCTTTTTGGATCCCATTTCATGCACTGCATATCATCTTGCCAATTCACCTCTAGTTGAATCTCTTGTTTAGTGGGTAGTAGGAGAGACCAAGAATGGAGATTTCACATAAAAGAAGGCCCGTCGCCACCAACTGGTTCTATATCTTCCTCCTCTTGTCGACTAACCTCCTCACCCTCCTCCTCTCCGCCACTTTCTACTCCTCCTGCTCTCTCGGTCGGAGGAGCGCCATCCCCGAAGCAACGGTCACCATCCCTTCTCAATCCACGGTTCGGTCAGCTGCGACGGCCTCCCTGAATACTGCGTCGGAGGATGATCTCACCCCCGAGTTCAAGGCCTTCACTTCAGGCCAGCTCCTCCCATTCGGGGTCAACCCGAACTTCGACTCGGACACCATGTACCCTCCGGTCGGCCGCCCATGCACCATGTTCCCGGACTTGCTCCGCCGCTTCATGACCTACAAGGTGAACGGCTCATGCCCGGATGATGAGCTCCTGGCGCAGAAGCTCCTGCTCAAAGGGTGCGAGCCGCTCCCTCGCCGCCGTTGCCGCCACGCCTCGCCCCCGGACTATGTGGAGCCGTACCCTCTCCCAACAAGCCTCTGGACCACCCCTTCGGATTCTTCTGTGGTCTGGACTGCCTACACTTGCAAGAATTATGACTGCCTCATCAACAGGAAGAACAGGCAGCAGGGCTTTGATGACTGCAAGGACTGCTTCGACCTTGAAGGCGCTGAGAAGCACCGCTGGACTGCTGACAAGAGCAACGGCGGCCTCGACTTCACCATCGACGAAGTCCTGGCGACGAAGAAGCCAGGGACAATAAGGATCGGGCTTGACATCGGGGGTGGGGTTGCCACTTTTGCGGTGAGGATGAGGGACAGGAACATAACCATCATCACCACTTCCATGAACTTGAACGGCCCTTTCAACAACTTCATAGCAGCAAGAGGGGTTGTGCCTCTCTACATCAGCATCTCTCAGAGGCTTCCCTTCTTCGACAACACGCTGGACATCGTCCACTCGATGCACGTGCTGAGTAACTGGATCCCAACCACGCTTTTGCACTTCCTGATGTTCGACATTTATCGGGTCCTGAGACCGGGGGGTCTGTTTTGGCTTGATCATTTCTTCTGTGTGGGTGAACAGTTGGAGCATGTGTATACTCCTCTCATCGACAGCATTGGGTTCAACAAGATAAAGTGGGTTGTGGGTAGGAAACTCGACCGGGGGCCAGAGCTCCAGGAGATGTACCTCTCAGCTTTGCTCGAGAAGCCATTGAAGAAGTCCTGGTGATCCTGTGGTTGCTTCTTTCCTTTTCACTCCAGGGAAGACTTTTAATTTCACACAGCCTTTCTAAAGTTCAGTCAAAGGAATACAAAACTTGCCACTGTCTTTTAATCAATAGTTGGAGAAAGATTGTTATTCATTCATAAGGATTATTATTATCACTGAAATTTGCCTGTTGGATATACGCTCAGTTAGTATTTTGGTCTAAGAAAATCTGTCTATAGTATCTATTTCTGCTGGTATGTCATCAATTATCGTTCGACTAACAAGTTGTATGCTTTGCCATTCCGTTGTATTACTTCTTCCCAAGTGCTACTCATTTATGACACTCTGATGTTGTCAAGCTTGACTTCCTACTGGACTGCTTTAGCGAAAACGAGGTTGAATCGGCTGCACTTTGATGAGAAGGCATTCTTCGTTAACGTGCTGAACTCAAATTTGTATTGAACAAGGTCTGCCTGCCTGATTCATGTTTAAGGTTTATTCTCTCCCGACATAAACAAATAAAATATCTCTATTTCACAGACCAAAAGGAAGAGATTTAAGTGCTTGCACGACATACGGGTGGGGGAGAGAGAGAGGGAAACGGACGCTTCACTTAAAACTCTTTGATCAAATTCATTTGACAAAATAATAACTATCAATTCAAATGAGTACCGAGTTACAACTTATAAGATGGGAGAAATTCAGAACACTAGAGGGAAAGTTGTGACCTTTTAACCTATGCTGTCGATGGAGCTTTTCACATATAATAAGGTTGTCTGACAAAATGAACTCATGAATATGCAATCCCACAATTAAGATCCTGAAACTGGAAACAAGTCCACAGATGGCAGCTACATAAAAGTTTCCGGCTCGTAAAAACCTTTTATATGCATCCTCTGCCCAAGCACTATCAAGTGCATGGATTAGACTTCAAGCTAATACTAATAGCAATAACTGCAGACTTGAAGAAGCCTCTGATAAAAAAAATGACCTGATGCACAATTTCCATTATGCATTCTGCAGTCAGTTACGTTGACCTACTGCCTCCACTCTCCAATTGTCGACCACTGGCACCTTTGGCAGAGGAATCTAGGAATTTCGATGGAAAAAAAGACCAATTGAGTCATGAAATATCATTTCCGAATTCTTGGAAGGCAACGTTGTGAGATTCCGGATAGTACAAGTAAGCATGATCAGCAACTCGCCTTCTATACAAATTCAGAGTTCAGAGAGGCAACAACGACCCTTTTCATGAAACTTAGTGATTCATAAAAGAGGCCATTTGCAATGTTGCCCCAGCTAAATATACAGGTGTTATAGTTTTTCTGCACTTCAGCTTCGAGACTAAGGTTTAACCCAAATGTCTTAAATCTCTATTTACGAAGGGCTTGGATAATTTGAGAAACAAATGGTACACGTCATAAATTGAAGCATTACTTCTTGATAAGGAGCAGCATAAGATATGCCATTTGTAGTTACATGAACAGCTAGCACTGCAGAGCAAATTGCAGTAGGTAATCCAGCATTTGCAGGTTGATATTTGGTCAGTTAGTAATTTGATGTAACAATATTAGTCTCAAGTATCGACTATTTCTGCTAGTATGTCATTCAGTTATTGCTCGACTAACCAGTTGTTCATTTTTCATTCCTTTGGATTGTTTCTTCCTAGGGGCTCCTCATATTGAATAGATATAAGGCACTAGCTGCAGGTCTAATACTTTCCCTTCAAGTTGTGCCAACGCTCTCAGATTGTCTAGACTCACTTCCCTTTAAAATGCTTTTAGCTAACACGGGGTTACATCAGCAGCATTTCTCTGCTAAGGCATTCTTCACTGATGTAGTGGACTCAAATTCATAGCCGCTACTGCATATTTATTATCAATAATCATTCCTATCGACATGCCTATCCCTGTTATTCCATCGTATGCATGAAATCTCCACGGTTGGCTAAGAAAAAAACATATGCATCTGTTCCTACCATGTTTCACTAAAGAAGGCACATGAGTTTACATGGTCATACCGAATAAGGTCTGCCTAGTTCATGGTGAAGGTTTATCTATTCCAACATATTCAATATTTGTATTTGATAGATCAGAATTCTGTTGTTTGCAGGCAAATTCTCGTAAATTAGATCTACTAGTATCACATGCAGGGTAGAGAGAGAGAGAGAGAGAGAGAGAGAGAGAGAGAGAGAGAGAGAGAGAGAGAGAGAGAGAGAGAGAAAGAGAGAGAGTATGAGAGTGGAACAGACACTTCAATTGAAAGTCTTTGATCCCTTCGATTTTATTTGAAATATCCAAAAGAATGTATGTACAGCAATATATGTCTACCCATCTTCGAGAACCCTGACTAAAAGATCTTCAATTTGAGGATCACCATCAATAGTAAATGACCCTCTTGCTGCAATTTTCTGCCCAAAAATCTAATACTGGAGCCCCATATCAAACTCTGGCTCCTCAGTTGGAGGAAGTAGAAGACATCCGAACAGCTCAAGCTCATCTGAGTATCTAAACTCCAAGGGGCTGTCCTCTTGTCTCGGTTGTGCTACAGATTTGCAGCATGCCGAGCACGCAAACAGAGGCGGGACGCTGTCAGTATCGTCGATTCCGCAGCATCGCGTGTGCTGCCACACTTCGCAGATGTCGCAGGCCACCATTCTCTCCCCATCGTCATCTTTGGCCCCGCAAATGCATCTCACCTCCCAATTCTCGCTCCCACCTTCATATCTCAACTGACTGTTTACATCCATCCCACTTCCCCTCACCCAAACCTCCTGGCCCGACTCCATGATCCCAAACAGCACCTCGGTGTCCTCCGTTACTTTCACGGCTTCGATATCTGTCACCTCAAGGTGTTCAAAAGCGCAGTAGGTCTCCCTAAATGCGCTCTCAGCTGCTTCCTTCAAGTCCCCGACTGTAGCGTGTAGTGGAACCATGATAATCTCACCTGGCGGGACTTTCTTCCTTGGCAATGTTTCCAGCCTATCTATGCTAGGGATGAGATTGCAAATGAAAGTGAGCAACTGGTCTTCCTCATCTCGAAATGGCCATTCCTTCATGAAATGCTTGCTGTCCAGAAGCACCTGAGTAGCTGATCGAACGCAATCCGATGTGGGATAATTCAGGAATACGGTGCTGTAAACTTTTTCCACGTCCTTGTAAACATCATGCCCGACCACAAGAGATGGCCATGGTAGCGTCTCTTGAACCAACTGCTCTGGTGGTTCCCTGCCACCATCGAACTCATGGATTGTGTACTCCAGGATCCGCGTTGATGGGTTCACTGCACGGCACACGACGTAATCCCCGACGATCACGTTATTGAGGATCTTCAGCACATTGTCGATCAAGCCTGTGTCCCCGATATGTAATCTGGCTGCATCTCGCACATCTTGGCGGGTCATTCCGTTGCAGCCCAACTTTTCGCCTCTTGCTTCTAGCAGTGCGTTCACAATCACTTCCGCTGCCTGCTCCATCCTCCTTGCAGGCCATCTGCTATTAATTTCAGCTCCAGCACTCGTGAATTTTCTAAACTTTATTGGCTTCATCTGCGAAAGATGCTTGTCCTGCAGAGATGCTCTAGTTGATAGTTTCAACTTCAAGTTGGCGGGAGGCCCAGCAGCTATGGCAGGTTTGTCCTCACGAGTCGAATGCGACTTGACGGTCAACATGTACTTGAGAAGGTCCTTTATGGTGACTAAATTGGTTTCGCTCATACCTTTGTAATGACGAATGATCTGCTTGATCTCTTTGAAATGTTCGGTTCCGCTGAAATCCTCGAGGACATTGACAAGCTCAAGCGAGCCAAGAAATTCGATTGCTCGGTGATAATGGTGCTCTTTAACTCCAAAGCTTCCTCTGAGGAATCTGTAACCCCATCTTCCGAACCACGTGTGTCCATAAGCGACCCCATATAGCAACCGGAGATCCATGGACCGCTTCCTAGAGACATCCTCAACTGTCACTTTCCTGCAAAATGATTTTAAAACTAGGAATATCAGATTACTAGGTGGGTATCAGATGACATTGTGCTCACCAGTTTAACTACTACTTCACTTTACCTGACTAGTAGATTGTTGCAAATGCGGTCCCAGAGATCCATAATCTCCCTTCCGCAGAGAAACTTGGAGCCCCCTTCGATGCCATTGATACAGATTAAGTGCCCGAACCCATTGCCATGAATGAGGCCATGAAGCAGATGGTTCGGCTCTTCAAGATCGCGCTCCTCCAGAGGCCGACTCCAGCAACAGTCCTTCGGGATTATCAGGTGATACCTCCGTCTCGACATGTAATGGTTTCCCCATCCTTAATCAGGCAATTAGAAAACATCCATGAGAAAAAAAAAACACTAAAAAATTCGCAATCCTCAGATTCTATGAACCAAATTCCCAAATCAAAGCCTAAAAATCCATCATGTTAAAGTTACCACTACATCGCAATCAACCCTTAGTCCGACAAAATCAAACACATCCATGAGAAAAGAAGTGCCGATAATCTGTAACCCCTGTTTTACTTGACAAACATTTCCAAACTGTAATACACGCTCAACCCATCAAAATTCGTACTCACGAGAGAACTAACCCACGATTTAGTAGCAGACAAAAGGATGTTAAGTGGACGATCTTTCAAATTACCTGCAAATCGGCAGTGATCGCAGGAGGAGTGAGACGAGGGAGTCATGTCTTCTTGGACGGTGTACAGGGGCACGACCACGCTCGTCTTCTGGTACATCAGGAGGGTGCACCAGACGGGCAGTTCGCCGGCTCCGGCCTCCTCGGGCACCCCGCATTCTCCTAGGAAGAGGCGGATGTTGTCGCGGAACGGGCCGACCGGGCCGATCGGGCATCCGGGGTCGCAGAAGTCGCGGAAGCCGAAGATCTTGGGCCGCCGCTTCCGCTTCCCGCAAGCCTGGAGGAACGGGAGCGACATGGGGGGGCTTCGGATCTCGAAGCGGGTCTTCTCTCTCGCGAACGCCCCAGCCGCCGGCGCTCTCTTCGAACCAGAACGAATTCGCCACAAGCTCCCAAGCGAGAGAGAGAGAGAGAGAGAGAGAGAGAGATAGAGCTTAACAGATTGAAGGATGGAGTTCTTGAGTCTGTTGAAGGGAGCTTCGAAGTGGCGGTTGATTGCGGTTTGAAGGTCGGACGTTGCCCGCCAAAAAAAAAACTAACCGTTAGAAATGTTCTTTTTTTTGGTTCGTCGGATGGTGGGAAAAAAGATTTACAAAATTTGTGACAAAATCGAAA